CGGTGGTCACCATCTTCGAAGAAGCTGGCTCGGTCGTCGTTCTCGGTGCTTAGCGTGACGTCCTGCAGCATCTCGGTGAGTTGGTCCAGCTCCTTGACCATTGTTATACGTTGAACAGAAGATTCTGGGATCTACAATGCTATGCATTGGAATTTGTTTGTTTAAATGTGGAGTGTTGCAACCTCGAGACGTACTATTTGTTTTTGTGCAGCCTGATATATTTCTTGTTTGGCTGATTTTTTGTTATTAAGTTTTTTTTTCCTTGGCGTATTTTCAGTAGAAGATCCTGTCTCTAATCCTGCTTGTGCACAAACGCAGGTAACTGCTATGCTTGTACGAGGAGAAAGACAAAAATGGATCATCCAAAAGGTGAGGAGCACTTCGGAGGGCATCCGCACAAGACAGGTGAAAGTCAAACAGAGGATGACCGTGATTGCCCAACATTGATTGACCTTGTGAAGTGGTTTGCTGATAGGATAGATTGTGCCAAAGCTGTGGCTTGTCCCAAATCCCGCTCTGCTGAAGATGATAGTGACGATGAAGATGACCAGGATTACGAAGATGAAACCGAGAAAGATTTCTCCATGTTTTGCAGGAGATGTGTCTGACGGCTTAGCAAGGAAGAACGAGGGAGACAGCAGCAGTGCGCAAGGAAGGCTCTCGTTCTGCTGAATGTCTTCCGGTTCTACGCCCCGTTCGTTTGAGCTTATAAACCATGGCTGAAAGTACTGTTGGCTGATTTGGTGTGAGAGAAAAATACTGTTTGTTGGCTGATAAGCCATAGCTTATAAGTCAAATACGACCCAGCGAACAGGCTGAAGTTAGAACAGGTGTCAACACTTTGCCACTCTGCAGATAACGTCAAACGTGCACATTCTGGCGGTACTGTTTTGCAACAGTGTTGATCCAAATCGGTCGCTAACCTGAAGCAGGGTTAGTGGAATTCACTGTTCGGATTAGATATTCTAGTTTCATGGATAAAACTAAGCAGTCGATGGATACCTTCATAAAACTGTTTCAGGACTCAAAACTATTTAGCACTACGTACCATTGTTTAGCTTGTTGGCTGATTTATCAGTCAGTCAATAGTGCTTTTCTCTCATCATAAACCAGCATTAGTCGAACTTATCAGTCCAGAAATCAACCAGCGAACAGACCGGTTGTCGCTAGCCTTGCAAGCAAAGTTTAGGTCCTTGCTAATTGAAAACGATACCAGCGTTTTTGAACGAAAAGAAGAAGAAGAAGAAAGAGAGTACTGTACTGTACCCGTGTTGACTATAATAAGCTTCAAGTTGTTGGAACTTTGCACTGTCGGATGAGCTAGCTGCAAACCTTTGAAAAGAAAATTGTGAACTACTGTACCATGACATGACTGAAACATGGTAGGCCAGGTGGAGCTGTAGCTGGGCCAGGCCGAGGCAGTTTGGCCCATCCACCGATTTTCGCATGTTGGCCGCGGCGGGAGTGGGAGTGGGATCGAGCCGATGAGAAACACCTCTTATCTTCATCCTTCGATGCGTACACCTCCTCATGTCTACAGACTGCGTCGACCTGCACGACTACGTCACACACCTCATCCTTCCCTTGTACGATTGTGCTGCACTGGAGTCTGCACATCATACTGTTACTGCACCCTTTTACAAGGCATTGCGCTTTGAGATTTATCTCAACTTCTCAAGTCAACTTCTTGTTTGAGATTATATATGATCACAGAGTTTCAGTTGAGCCCAGCTACTCTGAGCTGACGTCGTTCCATGAATCTGTCAAGATCTGCATGGCTGGAGCCATTGTCAAACCTTTGCTTGTTGGTAACGTCACACGTGCAACTGTTCACCCAAATCGGCAGCGATGCTAACCAGAACCTGAAGGATGGTGGGAGGCATTCACTGCGTTGACCATTCGTACTTACCCGTACCATTGTTGTTGCTTGCCTTGCATGGAAAGTTCAGCTCCGTGCCAATTGAAAAACGATCGATACCTATGTGTTTGAGCGAACAGAAGAAGGAAAAGGTACATGTGTTGACTATATAAGCTTCGAGTTGTTCGAATTTTGTACTGTTACATTTGCTAATTGCAAACCTTAAAAATGGAAACTTCCTTGTTTTTCCCATTATTATTGTTTGGTACGGGTGATTTTCAGGGAATTTCAACCATGGGTGCTCCGTAAGGGGGCAAACCTTGGTCTAGTTAGAGGCTTAGCTTCAGACTTTAGAGAAGAAGGTATCATAGACCTACAATACGCTGATGATGCAATCATTTTTTTCTGATGTAGAAGATAACCATCTAGTAAACCTAAAAGGGATTTTACTATGGTTTGAACAGATTTCAGGTATGAAAGTTAATTTCCATAAAAGTGAACTTATTCCTATGAATCTTAGTGAAGTAGAAGCTCATGAACTATCTCATTTCTTTTCTTGCCCCTTAGGCTCCTTTCCTATTAAGTATCTAGGTATTCCTTTACATTTTGACAATTTAAGAAGAGAAGACATTCCACCCATGGTAGATAACATGCTTAAAAGAATAGCAAGTCGGAGGGGAAAACTTTTGTCATATGCTGCTAGATTAGTTCTTATCAAAGCTTGCCTTGCTAGCATACCAGTCTATCTGCTCTCTTTTATTAAATTTCCTAAATGGGCTCTTAGGATTATTCATACTCGTATGGCCAATTATCTTTGGAATGACAACCCAGAAGCTCATAAATATCATTTGGTCAATTGGGACACATGTAGCATGCTTAAGGATTTTGGAGGTTTAGGTGTCCCAAATTTTAGAGATCTGAACATTCGTTTGTTGGCCTCTTGGGTGAAGAGATACAATATAGATGAAAATAAACTCTGGAAACGTACAGATGATTGATCACAAGTATGGCACTGACAAGCCAAACATTTTCTGTAGTAATACATCTGGTAGCTCTAGCTTCTTCAAAGGAATGATATGGCTGCTTCTGCAGCAAAGATGGGATATAGATGGCAAATAGGTAATGGTAAAAGAGTCAAATTTTGGGAGGATAACTGGTTAGGCTCATCTAGCTTAGCAATTCAATTCTGGGATATTTATATTCTAGTAAATGAAAAATCTCATACTGTGTTTGAGCTTTGGGATGGTACAGATTTGAAATGCACTTTTAGAAGAGGTGTAGATAATAGACTTATGCTTAGGTGGCAAGAGATCATTCAATTGGCATCTACTATAGTTTTTTCGGCTGATGAAGATTCTCTAATCTGGACCTTTAACTCTAGGGGAACTTACTCTTCCCAATCTTGTTTTTGTTCCTTCAGTTTGGAGTTTGAAAGTACCACCTCGAGTTCATTTCTTTCTTTGGTTGTTCTCTAAGAATAAGGTACTAACTAGGGATAACTTAGGCATTAGAAGGAAAGTAGAGGACCCTTCCTGTCTTTTCTATTGTGAAACAGAAACTGTCAATCATCTGTTCTTTGAATGTGCAGTAGCTAAACAACTTTGGTCCTATATGTCTGAAGTTTTGAGTAGGAATGTAGGAATGGATTTCTTATCAATAGGACAAATGTGGATTAGTAACAATCGTTTTCTAGTAGACAATATGTTTTGTGCTGCAGCCCTGTGGGGCTCTGGAAACTGAGAAATGAGATTGTTTTCAGGGAACTGCCTGGAGGAGTGTTCACTCTCTCATGATCTCAATCCTGGCTATGCTAACGAATTGGACTCTGCTATGTCCAACGGAGAAGAGACAAGATTTCAATACAAAGCTAGAAAGACTCAGCGCCTGGCAACCAGCCATCCAAGCTTGCCTGGCTGCTGGCTGAACCAGGTGGATGATGATTTGGAAAGGCTCATGTACTCATCGGCATTTGACTGGAAGCAAACGAACTACCCTGCTGAAATCACAAATCTTCTGATGGATGCGTCAGCTCAAAGCTTGGAATCCAATGGAAAGTGGATCAGTTTTCTTAAGTTGGGTGAGGAGTGGAATGTGTAATAGGGATGAGTTGTATCGTTTAGTTCTCGTTCTGGAGGGTGAAGTTGTCTGAGATGAGTTGAGTTGTATTGTTGAGTTTGGGAGTCGAACACTGAACGCTTGAATTGTTACTCTTACTCTGGTCTTTGTGATAATGCAATGGCCGGGGCGTTTTGCCCTGAAACTCTAAAAAAATTTCAACCATGGGTGACAACTGACGATTGCTGAAATGTGGTTGCTATCTGGAAGTATTGTTACGTGATCATCGTGGTCCCGTTCGGCTTACCTTAAAAGCCGATTTATTCGATTTTTTTTTTCAGTCGGATGAGTGTTTTTGTCTTATAATATTTCTGCTTTGGCTTGTTTTTTTCAGTCAATTTTAGCCAAGTGAACGGGGCCAATGCGTTCAAAGAACACACAATCGACATGGGTTTATGGAAAGCCTATGATTTCTGATTACTAAGGGCCCAGTTGAGATTCTATTTCAAAACAGAGAGGTGCATTATAGCTGTTTAATCTAGTAGTAACTGACCGTGACGATGAGGCACGCTCTATACACTGATCTGTGATGGAATGGAAAAAAGATAAAGTAAGTTGAGTTTAAGTCATAAGGTGAGATCAAGGGGAAGAATGTTAGGATGATCCCCACCAGTTCGCCCAACGACCAATTGAGCTCTTGATCCGCGCCTTGATCGGGGGCGCTCAGTCGGTTCTCTTGGCTCATGGGCCCCATCACGTAGCGCCATAAAAGAACGGTGGGGGCTGAGGCACAAGACACTAGGTTCACTGTAGCCACCAGCGCCCCACCGAGGTTCCTAGCCCTAGTCCGATCTAGAAAGACGTGCTGTAAACGACAGGAAATGCCATCGCCGTTGCCACTAGACCGTAACTCCACGTCGCTGCTACCTCGTCGGCAGCGTCATGGCCACGACTTCGATGAGGTACTTAACAAGGTAACTCAAGTTTTATCCCTGTATGATCATATAAATCCTGTCACGCCCTCCTCCCCACCGTCGTGTCTGGAGGTGGAACCGGCGTCCGAGCCGACGTCCCCTCGCGCCCCACGATGCGCTGGACGGCGGTGGCGCGACCTCGTCGTCTCCAGCTCCAGGAAACCCAAGGCTGCCAGCGGCGGTGGCGTCGACGCCAGCAAGTGCGCGGCGGATGGGTATCTGAACGCGCGACGGGAGACGCATTTCCTGCCGCTTCTCTCGTGGGACTCCTCGTCGTCCTCGTCGGCGTCCTCGGTCGACTCGGGCAAGAACGCGCGCCGCCCGCGGCCGTCGCCGTCGTCGTCGTGTTCCCCGCTGCGGACGCGGTCGGCGCCCGTGGCGAACCTCCTCCACCTCATGTCCAGAACAAGATCTACCAACCGCGACAAGGTCGGCGCTGTCGCCGCGGACGCGCCGCTGCGCCCGAAGCGGCAGGAGCCAGCGGCGGCGAGCGCGCACCCGCTCCTGACCCGAGCCTTGTCCTTGTCCTCGTCCTCGACGTCCTCCTCCGACTCCTGCAGGAACCCTCGCGTGGGCACGGGCGCAGGGCCGTGGCGGCCGCGCGGCCCTGTTGTCCGTCGTCCCGGCCCCCGGTGGCGGCCGAGAGTCCGCGTGTGAGCGCGTCCGGGCGCGTGGTGTTCCGCGGCCTGGAGCGCTGCTCGAGCACGCCGGCGTCGGCGGCGGGCAACGGGCCGCACCGGCCGCGGCCCAGGGGCATGGAGCGGTCCTACTCGGCCAATATGCGCGTGGATCCGGTGATCAATGTCTTCGGCTTCGGCCACCTGTTCATGCCGTCGTCGCTGGCCAAGGAGAAGAAGGCCGACAAGGGGAGGGACCTCGCAGGTCGCAGGAACAGGCCGGAGAAGCTGGCCATGGTGCTGAGAGATCCACAGGATTAGGCAGCGGCCACGCTGGCAATAATGCATCGGATTCTCCTTGTCTCAAATTGCTTGTTGTTTGTCTTCTCCTTATTAATTCTCTCTCCTTCCTTGCGATCGTTGTAATATAGCGCCAATATTAGTCCAGTTTTTAGGATCTGGACAGAGAAATTCCAGAGAAACTTTGGTGAGATCTGAATTGCCACTCCGAACTGTAACTCTGATCCTCCCCTGAGATCAATCATCATGCTACGTGCTAGTACTCCTACTCTTTGAACAGCACATCTTCTGTTCGAAAACCCAAGCACTAATCAATATGCAATGTCAATCACTTCAACTGAAGTAGAGTTATGTTTACTCCAGTAGATGGACTATAGAAGAGACACGACTCGTCAAGAAGAGAGTACGACGGAATAGGGTGAACCGATGAAGTGCCCCGGCTGCCCTGCTGCTGCTACCTGCTAGGAAGAGGAATGGGTTGGTACAGTACTCGAATAGAGGCCTCGTGATCCGTGCAGATTCCCGGCTGTGCGTCCTGCCCGCACTGAGCTGCAGCCTGCAGCTCGAAAGGTTTTTAAGGCCATGTTTAGTTGCATCGAAATCCAAATTTTGGCACCATGTAAAAAGAAAATTTTCAGTCACATCAAATTTGTAGTACATGCATAGAAATCTTAGATGTTGACGAAATAAAAATTAATAATTGCACGTTTGGTTGTACTTTTTTGCGATTTAACGTTTTGGCCTAATTAATCAACGATTGAATAATTATTATCAAATACAAACGAAATGCTTTCTGATGCGTTCTGAGGAATGAACAATAAATCAGGCGACGCGCTAAGTTCGGCGAACTAAACACGGCCTAAAATGCAAAAAACTTTCTTCTGTCTTCCTAATTGGATTTGAAATGTTTCAAATGGAGTGCTCTACTATATGTTCAGTTGAACACAACAAACATCGGGATCTCTCGGAGTCTCGGGACTTGATGCTCTCTGCCTCCTAGTGTCAGGTTCCTAATTTCCTTCTGCAAGCACGGGATGAACATTGCAGAGCTTGCAATCGTGTACGCTCAGGCGCAGCGCGTGGCAGGGCAGGCGGAAGGAACGGGCCTACCGACGGGCCTCACTCATGATCCAAATCTTGTGGTGTCGAGGCTCGTCAGCAGGGCCCGTCCATCCAAGTCTGGTCGGCCGTTCTCTCTAGGTTTTCTCTTGGGCTAGCCTTGTGGGTTGGTAGGTATTCGTACCGCAACCACCGGCCCGCTGCCATGAGCCCATGGTACTCGCGCACGTCGGCGATGATTGACGCGGGCTCTCAGCACCACGGGCCGAGTTTTCCGGAAGCCGCAGGTTTTGTGCACGGCATCTGCCAGCCCGTGTGAACGAGAGAGTCTTCGGTTCAACTTTGATGTCTCGCAGCTCCTCAGCATATCATGGATGGACGGCATCTCGTGGTTTCTTTTTCTTCTGCGAGGAGGATCATTGTCTGGCTTGTTTCGTCACGATCGATGTTCAACTTCGACCTGCGCATGCCGTAGCGTGACAGCATGGGCATGGTCGCATGGAGGTGAACGACCTTGCCGTGGGTCGACGCCCACCATATGGTTGATGGATCACTAGTTCAGTAGCCGGTGCACGTACTAGTCAACAATCGTCTAATCCTCCTGATGGCAACGGCCTGACAGAAGAGATGAGATGATCCGGTGGTCTCTGCGGCTCGCGGGAAGCGAGAAGTAAAAGGTGTAGCCACAGCCACTGCCCACTGCAGCACTAGGCAGCATGCATTTTGTTTTTTGACAGGATCTCGTCTCGTCTGCCGAAAAAGCCTTGTGAACGTGGAAAAGAAGAGCGAGTGGATAACGTCTGCCGCCCACGAGTCGGCGTGCTCGATCGCCTGGTCGCTTTGGTTCCGGGTCGTTCGTTGCTGGCGGCCTGGACCGGACCCATGAGCCAACCATGGTACTCCCGGTCCAAGTGGCGATAATTCTGCGGCGCCGTGCACGCGAGCAATGCAGCCTGCGTCCGGGATTCAGCGACGACGCGTCACGTTTCAGAAACCGACACGAGGTCGCGCATGGGATTCGTCCGTCCGTCGTACGTTCGGAAAGAATCCAATCATCATCATCAGGTTTTGGGCCGACAACTTCTGGGTGGCAGGTATTCGCTCTGAGTGAGAGGCAGCGATCGTGGTCGTGCCAGTTCCACGGTTGACGCACGTCGCCGCGGCCGCCACTGGGTTGGTTTGTCCGCGCGCCTCCCACGGACGACAGACCCACGGATATTTCATCATAATCCCACGGCCGATCGGGTGAGGCCGTGAGAGCCGAGCGGCAGGCCTCGCGGACGCCGACGCCCTCATCTTTTTCGGCCGTTCCCTCGCTCGCGTCCAACCCGGCACGAGGCGTCGGCGTCACGGGACGGGATGGAAAAACGAGGCTGCCGTGCGCGTTCTCCGCTTCTCACACACACCTCATCTCCAGCAGTCCAGCTAGCCCACCACCACGGCTACAGGCTACAGGCTACAGGGCGGCGAACTTGCAGCGTTCAGCTGTAAGTTGATCTCCACCGACGGTTAATTGGACCCTTGGATCTGCGCTCTGATCGGAGACGTCCAACCCTAATATAGTTGGTAGGCCCCCGTCGCACAGGGCCATAAATAGTAGGTGGGGGCTGGGGCGCCAGGGACGAGGTTCGCCTGAGCCGCCTAGCACCTCACCTACAGTCCTAAACCCTAACCGATCATAGAAGGGGCGCTGCCAACGACGGGAAGCACCGCCACCGGCCAACGCCGCCACTGCACCGCCGCCCTTCGACTCAGCACCGCCACCAGGTCTTCACCAAGCACCGCGATGGCGAGCCTGTCTTCCTCCAAGGCGACCGATGGTTTGCACTCCTTTCACCCCCCTCTCTCTCACTCTATCTATTAATCTTGTAGTAGTAGATGTTTTAGGACTGACTGTTTATTCCAAAAGTAAGTAGACACGCTAGATTTATGGCTAGTGATCATGTTTTAGGTCTATCATTGGTATCGGACGTCTAACTAGGTGTAGTCTATCGGATAAGAAAACCGAGTAGCAGCTAGAAGGAGGTGATAGATTCGTTTTCGGATCTAAACAGAGGGTTCATCGAACCCAAAATCCAAAATCGGGGAAGAAAAGGAGTGAGAAGGGCCTCGGATTTTGAAAAGCAACTCAAACCCTAACCCTAACCCGCGCGAACCGCTCGGGGAAGATGAACAATAAGGAAACCCTAACCCTAATCTCGATCCTAACCCCATCCCCAACCCTAAATCGGATAGATCCGAGAAGAAAAGGAAGAAAAATCGAATCAAAGAAGAAAAGGGGAAGGGGAAGAGGCATACTTCACCGCTGCACCGCGCAGCCGCCTCGTCGACGCGCGAGAAGAAGGGTCGAGCCACCGCTGCACATTGAGCGGAAGCGTGCTCTGGCCAAGGGAGCCGCGGCAGGCCACTCGACGGCGATGCGCTCACCCGCTGGGGAGCGCGCGCCGGCGAGGGGGCCGGTGACGGCGCCGTCATCGCCTCGCCTCACTCGGTGTCGTCGCGGGGCTGAGAGAGAGAAGGTGGAGAAGAGAATGGTCAGATCTAGGATTTCAGGAGACTCTCACCGCAGCGCGTGTGGGAGATCAGAGCACCGCCACCCAGACCGCTCGACGGTGGCGCGCTCACCCGCTGGGGAGCACACGCGCCGGCGAGGGGACCGGCGACGGCGCCATCACCGCTTGCTTTCGCTCGGCTGTTGCTGCTCGCTGCGCTGAGGAGAGAAAGGGGCGCGGCGAAGAAAGAGAAAGGGCAGAAGAGAATGGCGCTAGTGTTTTAGGGGAGCCGCTGATGTCGACGTTTTGATCTGGCGACGCGCGCGGACGGCCGTCGGATCTCATCCGACGACTGGAACATCATCGGGCCGAAATGAGCCCAGGCGGGATTGCAGAATCCGCCCCATGCCCAGGTTGCGGCCTGGGCGCGGGGGGAGGAGAGCGGCGCGCGCCGCTGGGCCGTGTCGCTGGGCCGCGCGTTACTGAGGCTTGCTGGTCCGTTTACTGCTGCTGCAGGCCGAGCCAAAATGAACAGCAAGAAATGATTTGAAGTTTATTTAATTTTCAGAAGTAGATTTGAATGAATTTTGATGAATTTCGAAGTTTTAAAATTTATGGTAAAATTACACCAACATGTTACTTTTTTCCAGAAAGTAGATATGAATAAGAAAATGCTTCTGAAAAGCAGATAATTATTATTTATTCATGTTTCCGCTGTAATGTTAAAGTTCATAATCTTTTAATTAAATTTAAACCAACGGGAGAATTTAATTTCAAGGGTAGTCAATATTAATCAGAAAATTATAATATTATTATTTTTCTGACCATCGTTGATAATAGTAATATTATAATATTTAATCATAAGTTTTCCATGTATTAATTCTATTTCTGCCCATCGGTGATGTAGAATTAGTGTATAAGAATATTGTATGTTTTAATTTTGACCAACGTTAAATTAAAGCATGCAATTATAATGACATATTTTCTCACTATCTCTGACGGTGTTTTTCAGGACTCAACCCAATGGCATTCATCTCGCACATACCACCTCTAGAAGGGGGCAATTACAGAAGTATGAGCTCGCACTTGCGCTGTTCAAGAATGACTTAGCGCTTACCTCCCCGTATCCTACTGAGCCAGTGGACCCCGTGAGGGCAGAAAATGAGACTGATGCTGATTTCACTGCTCGGCAGCGAGATCATACGAAAGTTAGAATAAAATACGATCTTGATCGGAAGAAGTGGGACATCTCAAACCGCAAGTGCTTAATGGTGGCCAAGTCCACTATTTCAGATGCTATAAGGGGGTCTATCCTAGACTGTGATACCGCCACGAAGTACCTAAAGAAGATGGAGAGTCAGTTCACTGGCTCTTCAAAGGCTTATGCTAGTACATTGATCAAGAAATTATTCAATAAAAAATATACTGGTGGCGATATCAGAGAGCACATATTGAAGATGAGCAACACGG